CAACTTCCATAGAAGGCCTGGACACGCCACTGAAGAATGCCATTTCCTCAAAAAGATGGAAGGAGAGATGAAGGACAAGGAACCGAATGCCAATCAGGAGCCGAACCAAGGAGGTAATGTTTGGCGTAGGGACGCCCAACCTCAACAACAAGTCCAGGAGAACCCGGAAGAATTTCCCCAAGTAGGAGTCATCTTTGGCAGTCCAGAAACAGGAGTCACAAGCAAGGAGAGGAAGGAATGGGCTCGCAAGCTGTATGTGGGGTCCATTGACATAGGCCAAGCGGCCAAGAAAGGAAGGAGGGAGCCCATTGTCTTCTCGGACGAAGACTTACCACTCATTCTTAGTCCTCATCGGACCCCCTGGTAATTTCTATGGCTATTCACAAATTTTTTGTCAAAAGAATATTGGTGGACACAAGAAGCAGTGTCAATGTGCTGTACTGGGAAGCCGCCCAGCAATTGGGAATCAGGAAGGAAGATCTCACAAACCTTAACATGCCCTTGTCCGGCTTCATTGGAGATATAATTGAACCGGAAGGGTCCATTAAATTGGACATCATCATAGGCGAGCATCCTAAGGTGAGGCATATGAGGATGGATTTTGTAGTGGTCGACATCAAATGCGCTCACAATGCCATCTTAGGGAGGCCTGGGCTAGAGGACTTGGGAGGTGCACTATCCCTTGAGCACCTGTGCTTCAAGTTTAGGACTCCCGAAGGTGTTGGGAGGGTCCTTGGTGATCAGCCCGCGGTCAAGAAGGCCTATCTAAGCGCCTGTAAGAAGATAGACAAGGAGAACCTCAACATCCAAACCATTGGGCATGTTTTGGAAGATAAAGAAAAGAAGGAGGAAGACCGGGAGAGGCCTAAGCCAGCTGTGGAAATGGAGGAAGTGGTGCTATTCCCGGAAGGGGATTAAGAAAAGGTTGTGAGGATCGGTTTAGGGCTAGAGGAGGATACCCGTGAAGAGATAATCCGAGTATTAAGAGAAGACTCGGTCCTCTTTGCATGGGAATCCAAGGATATGCCCGGAGTCGATCCCTCAGTCATTTGCCATAAGTTGAACATCAAGATGGACTCCCTCCCGGTCAAGCAGAAGAAAAGATATCTGTCCACGGACAGAAAAGAATTTGTGAGGAACGAGGTGAAAACCCTTTTGGAGGCCGGCCACATTAGGGAGGTCCAATATCCCAAATGGCTCGCCAATGTGGTGCTGGCACCAAAAGGGGACACCTTTCGCATGTGTGTGGACTTCACTGACCTCAATAAGGCATGTCCTATGGACCCCTTTCCCCTACCAAGAGTAGATCAACTGGTAGATGAAACGGCGGGCCATGAAC